CTGTGAGCTGTAATGCCATGGCACTCTACCCAGGGGGACAGCTTGAGGCTCTGTCTCAAAAAAAAAAAAAAAAAAAAAAAAAAAGACTTAACTATCTAGTAATCAAGACTGTTACTGAAGAAAGTTTAGACGTACAGACCAATGGAACAGAATTAAAGTCTGGAAATATATGATCAACTGATCTTCAACAAAGGTGCAAGGGCCATTCAATACAAGAAAGATAGTCTTTTTCAACAAATGGTGCTGGAACAATTGTATATTTAAATGCCAAAAAGAAAGAAGAAAATCTTGACCTGTACTACGCACCTTGTAGAAAACTTAACTCAAAATAGACCACAAACCAAATTTAAACCTGAAATTAAAATACCTAAAAGAACACTTAGAAAAAAATCTTTATGACCTTGAGTTAGGCATAGATTTCCTAAATAAAATAGCAAAATCATGATCCATTAAAGAAAGGATTGATGAATGGGGTTGAAGGCAAACTAATCACATTTCTCTTCATTTATAAAATGCCTGATACCTTCTTATCCAATTTCAAAACATTTTAAAAAGGTTGAGACCCCTGAGGGATGTCAGCTGTGTAAGCTCAGTCTTTCCCCAGATCCTGGTAGTAAAACATATTACTCATCTCAGTAACGAAGATACTATCCCTATTAGTTCCAAAGAGGGCTCCTTTATAACAGATGTCCTAGGTCACAGATGCCCAAAAGACCATCATCTGTGAACTATGTTGGTAGTGTCTTCTGAATTAAGGGATTAAGTGTTTGTGTCCACACCTGAGTAAACGATCAAAGATTTTTCACTCACCTCTATGTATAAGGAGCTCTCTAACCTGAAGTAGCCTGACTACACCTCTAAAAGCCGGCTAGATTTACATACTAAGCTTTCTTCTACAGCAGCACCCATATTCCTCCAGGGTTAGGGGGCTAAGTTAATAGCTCAGTTTTCCCTGGACCAATCCTTTGGATTTTGATTAGCCACTGTCTTTCCTGGTCCCTCAAGGGGATTTTCTGAAGCCAGATCTTTTATCAAAGACCACAGGCACAAAATGATAAAAGGTCAAAGGAATCAATCATTTACAGTCTAGCTTGCTCAACAGATACCTTCTCATAATTGCCCCAAAGGGAAGCACTAGCTAGCTATTCAAATGGCAGACCACCCCATGCCATTTTACACAAGTTTAGACTCAGAAGGGTGACAGCAAAGCCAAAAGCAGCTAAGATGACAAGGGGCTGCTCTGGAAGAATGTTCTGACTACTGCCAAGGGCCCACACTTACCATAATCACAGGTGGGCTGAGCACTGGTGTCGGAGTATGTAGACTGCAAAGTGGTTTCAGATCCCTGGACAAAGCCTAAACATATACGAAGTGTGGTTAATTACCCCAAGCATGCAGCTGGAAAATGACCTAAGAGTACCCTTCAGTATAGACTTGCTGGCAGGCCCTCCCCTCTGTGGAAAGCTACCAAACTCTAGATTTCCACTTTAATTAGACCTCCAAAACATAATGTTTGGAATGCCAGGCTACATTTAACTTGGTATACCAGAAGGACTGAACGAAAAATTTTAAATGTTTAAGTCAGAACGCATTTGATAAATGAGTACTCAAATTATCATTCAATTAAAATAAGGAAAATACTTATATCAAATCACTAAAAGGATACAAACAAGAATGGGAGTTAGCTCTGAAAAAATGTTAAAGCAAATAATATCTCCTCTCTCACCCTGCCCCAAATCTGAAACAGAAACTGCTTTTGATTCTAGTTTTCCCATTAAAAAAAGTGTGTATAGGCAGGTGCTACGGCTCATCCCTGTAATCCCAGCACTTTGGGGGACCAAGACAGGAGGAGTGCTTGAGGACAGGAGTCCAAGACCAGCCTGGGCAATGTAGAGAGAACCCCCATCCCTACAAAAAATAAAAAGTTAGTCAGGTTTGGTGGTATGCGCCTATAGTCACAGGCACTTGAGAAGCTGAGGCAAGAGGATCACTTGAGCCCAGGAGCTTAAGGCTGCAGTGAGCTATGGTCACACCACGGCACTCCAGCCTGATCAATAGAGCAAGATCCTTTCTCTTTAAAAAAAAAAAAAATTGTGCATAATATATATATATTTTTTGAGACATATTCTTACTAGGTCACTCTCAGTAGAGTGCCATTATGTCACAGCTCACAGCAACCTTAAACTCTTAGGTTTAAGCAATTCTCTTGCCTCAGCCTCCAAGCAGCCGGGACTACAGGTGTCCACCACGACACCTAGCTATTTTTTTGTTGCATTTGTCATTGTTATTTAGCTGGCCCATGCCAGGCTTGAACCCGCCAGCCTTGGTGCAGGTGGCTGGTACCGTAACCACTGTGCTATGGGCACCAAGCCCATATTTCTTAAATGTAATTATTTAAGGTTGATATATTCAGATGGAAATACTAAGTATTATTATGTATATAAAATTTCTATCTTCTCAACTCTCATACTATTTCCCCACCTTTTTTTTTGAGATAGTGTCACTATGTGCCCTTCTGTAGAGTGCTGTAGCATCGCAGCTCACAGCAACCTCCAACTCCTGGGCTTAAGCAATTTTCTTGTCTCAGCCTCCCAAGTAGCTGGGACTACAGGTGCCCCCCACAACATCCAGCTTTTTTTGTTGTTGTTGCAGTTGTCATTGTTGTTTAGCAGGCCTGGGCCAGGCTCTAACACATGTGGCCACACTATGGGTGCCAAGCCTAACACGATTTACTCTTAACACTGAAATTATTTTTTTTTTTTACCGAGACAGAATCTCATTTTGTCACCCTTGGTAGGGTGCCATGGCGTCATAGCTCACAGCAACCTCAAACTCTTGGGCTCAAGCGATTCTCTTGCCTCAGCCTCCCTAGTAGCTGGAACTATAGGCGCCCACCACAATACCTGGCTATTTTGTTTGTTTGTTTAGCAGGCCCTGGTTGGAACCCACCAGCCTCAGGAGCATGTGGCCAGTACCCTAACCACTGAACTATGGGCACCCCCTCCTTAACACTGAAATTATAATAGATGCCTTAACAGAGGTAATCATTTACTTGTTCCCATTACAGTCAACTAATAGCCTGAAAATTACAGCCTGTACGTCTAAATAGCTTGTTTACAACAAAAACTCAAACTGCTGCCTCCCCTCCACCAGGCATTCTCTTTGTTGACAGACTATTTTATCTCTTAAGATCACAGCAATAGTAGCCAACACTGAACAAGTGCTTCCCCTCAAAGAGGGCTAAGACAGTTTTTCTGCATGATATCATTTCATCCTCACCACATCTAATAAGGGAGACTAGGCAAGATCCCTTACCCTGAAATTCCTCTAGGTCCAAAAGATCTGAAAACCAAGTGTTCTCAACAAATAATGGTGCCAAAACTCATTCTGGGGCCAAAATGACCTATGAGAACATATACAGTGTTTTTTTGTCCCCCTCAATGCATAATTCATGTGTTTAAATATAGGGTGCTGCCCAAGAATCCAGTATGACTTCTCTTAAGCTGGAATTTCAAAACACATCCATCTCCAAGGCTTCCAAATAAGGAGCTGTGGACCCAACTTTATCTTTACTTCCTCTACAGAGAAGGGAACTGGGCCCTGAGGATAGAGAAAACCAAACCCACACAGATCCAACCTTTTCTACCCTTTCTAATTAAAGAGAATTTAATCCCTTTTCTAAGGATTAGAGATCTTCCCGAGATCCCTAAATTCCAAGCATTCATGATTAATTACAATTGTCCCCAAGAAACAAAAGTATTTATTGAAGAGTTAACCTAGAGCAAAGTCTTATAATGTAAAAAGCACCAGACCTCTGCCTTCTCCACTGTTTGCTCAACTAGGTTCCAGAAACCTGTTTATTCAATAACAGGGCCACCAGCAAAAGGGCCCCAGACTTTATTTAGGTGATGTGGCTTGTGAGAGGTTTTGGTATAGAACCCAGGTGAGGGTCCGTAGGAAAGGAGAAGAGGCTAGTCCAGGGACAAGGAAAGACTTTAATGGGAAACGGAGAATGAAGACTGACCAGGTGTTAGCTCTCACACAGCAGCAAAAGTCTTTCATTAGCCCTGCTAGTATAGCTGAAATGGGTGAGCCTTGGGCTCTTCTCTAGTGCAGGTCAGAATTATAGGCATATCCTTAGTACTACCCAGGATATGGGTAGGGTGTTTCTAGGAACTCTGGCCTTGAGCCATTCCAGCAGTCTGGGGAAGGGATTGTGAGTTTCTGACCTAATTTTCTGAAATGGGTGCACTCTTGTCAGGGTTATGAGTATTCCTTTCCCACAGTAAGTAACCACAACTGAAGCTAGAAACCTACCACTTGCCCAAAGCAGTGATTATCAACTAGTGTGCCATGAGAGGATCTTAGGCATGCTGCAAAAATTTTAAAAGATCTTTAATTATTTTCTAAAAAAAGTTCAAAGCACAGCCAGACACGATGGCTCACGCCTGTAATCCTAGTACTCTGGGAGGCCAAGGCTGGTGGATAGCTTAGCTCATGAGTTCGAGACTAGCCTGAATAAAAGCGAGACCCCTAGCTCTACTAAAATAGAAAAATTGAGGCAAGAGGATCACTTGAGCCCAAGAGTTGGAGGTTGCTGTGAGGTATGACACCACGGCACTTTACCCAGGGCAACAGCTTGAGATTCTGTCTCAAAAAAAAAAAAAAAAAAATTCAAAGCACAGTTGAGTATATTCTTTTTTTGATCAACATAATGTAAATGTGGGGTAGAAGTTTAACTACAGATTCAAGTGTGCAGTGAGATTAAAAAAAAAAAAAGAAACCCTGAAAAACACTGCCATAAAGAAACGTATATTTGGCTTGGTGCCAGTAGCACAGTGGTTATGACATCAGCCACATATACTGAGGCTGGCGGATTGGAACCCAGCCCAGGCCAGTTAAACAATAACGACAACTGCAACAACAACAAAAAATAGCTGGGTGTTGTGGTGGGCGCCTGTAGTCAGTCCCAGCTACTCGGGAGGCTGAGGCAAGAGAATCACTTAAGCCCATGAGTTAGAGTTTGCTGTGAGCTGTGAAACCACAGCACTCCACCAAGGGCAGCATAGTGAGACTGTCTCAAAAAACAAACAAAAAAAGAAACATATATTGGAATACAATAAGCAGGCCACAGAACAAAAGACCTACTTGTATGTTCAGCAGAGAGGTGCCCTGGTTCTTCTTTGGGAAAAAAGAAAGACAATTCATCTAACCTTCACAGCTCAACAGCAATCTCTGCTCTAATTCTGTTCTCCTACATTAACATTCTATTCTATAATACTATCTCTCCAGAGCAGGCCTTTCTTTAGCTAGCCATGGCTCCTAATATAAATAAACTCTGATTTGGCTCTCAAGTTATCTCTTCTTGGTTCAATTCACTGACCTGATCAGCTTTGGGTGAAAAGAATAAAATATGCCCTATTTGGCTCTAAAAAACTTAAGGGCCAGACTATGAATTTTGCTTTTTTCTGAGACAGAGTCTCACTTTGTCACCCTGGGTAGAGTGCCATGGCATCATACCTCAAAGCAACCTCAAATTCCTGGGCTCAAGCAATCCTCTTGCCTCCGCCTCCCGAGTAGCTGGGACTACAAGCACCTGCCATAACCTCTGCCTAGTTTTTTTTTTTTAATTTTAAATATTTTTAGTAGTGATAGGGGTCTCAATTTTTTGCTCAGAACTCCTGAGCTCAAGCAATCCACCCACCTTGGCCTCCCAAAGTGCTAGAATTACTGGCGTGAGCCACAGTGTCTGGCCCAGATTATAGATTTCTAATTCTGCAGCACTACCCTTCTATCTTAGCCAACCTGTCTTTTCATCTTTTCTGCTCAAAAATACAAACACTTCTCAGTTTTATTCTTTTCCTTCTTTTTCATCTTTTTAAAAAAGTATATTCCTTGAAGCAATAATACACAGTGACAAAAAATGGAGAAGTAGAATTAGATTAGGTTGCCTCCAACCTCCACTGTGTGAGCCAAGAGTAGGGTAGCAACCATTCTGTAATGATTCTTTTTTTTTTTTGAGACAGAGCCTCAAGCTATCCCCCTGGGCAGACTGCCAAGGCATGGCACCACAGCTCACAGCAACCTCCAACTCTAGGGCTCAAGTGAGTCTCCTGACTCAGCTTCCCAAGGAGCTGGGACCACAGG